TCAGACTACTTCCATTGACGCATCAACTCTAAATTGGAAGATAGTTTTGTCCTCAACTATTGTATGGAGAAGACCTATAGAAGATGCACTTCCTCAACTACTTCACATGCTCCATCTTCAAGTCATGATGCAATAGAACCTAATATGTGCACCTCTTTCACTCGATGTTGGGACATTAGTGATGCATCCGTAGTGGTTCACTTTCCATACATGATTCTATGAGATATTTAAAGTTTTTAATATAAGAACCACATTCTCCCTATGATAATTTACCTTTCTGGAATTCATCATTGATTTTCAGTGGCCTATAGACAGACCATTTTATCTAGAAAATAAGAGAGGTGAGCAAAGTGGAAGTGGATGAGGAAATGCAGAAACAAAGAAGAAGAAGAAGAATATGATGATGGAGGGAGAAAGTGGAGAGTAAGAGGTTGAAGAATAGGAAGAAAGTGGTGAAGATGAAAAACAAGATGATGACTAGCTGTTACCACATCTTGTCTCCAGAATAGTGAATCTTTATTTGCTTTCTTTGATTGAATTCAATGCTCATTGAACAATTAATGTGTGCTTTATGTAGTTTAGCTTGCTATAAATTCCATTAACAAGAGGAACTTGAACATGTTAGTCATTTTGTACTAAGTACATGAGCATGTCCAAGCTCCTAAACATCTGAGTATCTCTTGGGACATCATTTTGAAAATATTGTTGTTGGATGTGTGTTGAATATGAACAAGTACAACATGTGATTGTAGAAGTTACACAAAAGTCGTTAAGCCAACTCTATTATGCGCTAAGCGAGTTTTGTAGCACAAACTCGCTTAGCGAGAATTTTCTTAGCTTAGCAAAGGACCTATGCAAAACCATTACTTTTTTTATGACCTGAAAACGGGCCAAAATGTTTTTTAGGGGGTGGAATGCAAAGGAGATCAAAATTGAGCTTACACTCCAAAATACATGTGATTTTTTTAGTTAAGTAGCCTCGTGGCTGAGAATTCATCCTTTAAAGATGAACAAGACGGGTGTCGCGAGTTCAAATTTGCGCCCTTGCATCTGACTTTCATGTACAACTATCAATTAAGTTGGTTTAACGAGACAACTCCTATGATATTTAAAGGCACTTAATGATTGGATTAAGTACTTGACAGAAAACTTGACAATTTGAATTTTTTTTTGTGAATTTTTGCTTGAAGCTGTTTATTTTGAAAACTTAAATTTTTTGGAAACTTTTGAATTTTTTTGTTTTAAGCTGTTTGTAGGCTTCATTCGTGGTCAAGCAAGCAATCTCAACATATCTCCAACATCTAGAGTCCTCTAAGACCTTAGTAAAGATGTGACTATTATATAATAATGTATGTATATATTCTAAAAAAATACATCAATATTTTACACATTTTAATATAAGTGTTATTTTATTTCATACTTCAATAATAAAATATTTAAAAAATTCTTTAATGTTAATAAAAACTTAAAATGATATGATATTTTATAATTGATCGATTTATTTTTATTAAAAATATTTATAACAAATACATGTATGAATACTTAGATACTCATAAAGTACAAGTATAAATACTTATATATATCCGTGAAATACGGGTAGGAGAACTAAAGTTGATATTTATACTTATATACCCATGAGATACGGGTATAAATACTAAAATTGGTGGCAGCATAGGCAGGGGCGGATCCAGACTTTATATATTGGTGTGGCTAAACATAAAAGAAATTATCGACTAAAATATATTGAAAATAAAAAATAATATTGTTTGATGAAGTGTATTTACAATGAAAACCGTCTAGTATCAATTTCTTGAAAATGAGCTAAAATAACATCATTGTTAATTGTTCCAAGAACATCTCTTTCTATAAAAGTTACAAGACGATCATTTAACCATTGATCACCCATTTTGTTACATAGTTGACTCTTCACAAACTTCATAGCTGAAAAAACACGTTCCACGCTCGCAGTTGCTACTGGCAAGACTAAAGCCAACTTCAGAAGCTTATAAACTATATCAAAAGTGTTGCATTTTTTTGTTTCCACAAGTTTTGCACAAAGATCTGAAAGTCCGTTTAAATTTGCAAATTTTGAATCACATCGAACATTTCTAACATAATTCTGAAGCTGATGTCGTACCGCCACTTCCGGCACATCTACAAAATCATTTGGATAAAGTTAAACCATCCTCAATAATTTTTTCACATCAAAAGATTCAAATGATGATGAGGGACTCAAACATGAAACACATTGTAAAAGTTCAGTATTCTCTTCATCAAACCTAGCATTGAGCTCATGCAACTGCAAATCTAAAACACTACATAAACAATCATGCTTATAATGATGCAAATTAGAAACACTAGAAGTGATAGCATGTCGTCTAGGTTTCTTCCCTTGCACGTACGCTGCATCCAAATCAAGCACATCAATATCATGCTTATTGCAAATTTCCATAACCTTAGATATAAGTTCTTCCCATCCATCATTTCTCATTTCTTGTAATTCCTGTTTGGTGGCTTTGACAAGTGATAAAGCATTCAAAAGATCTTGATCACGCTTTTGTAGCACTACACTTAAATCATTTGTAAATCCTAAAATCTCAACCATCATGTATAACATGAAAATAAAATCAAAGGACTGAAGCACATCTAGCAAAAACATAGTTTCACCATATTTTTCAAATGACGTATCTTTCCCGACTTCTTCAAGTACCTCAATAATGGCACCATATAAAGTCATCAAACTAGTTAGAGTCCTAAAGTGGGAACCCCAACGAGTGTCACCCGCTCTAGCAATAGACGATTCTTGATTTAATCCACTACCAGTCTCTATCTCACCCTCTTCAATCAATTTAGCAAATTGAGATACTTGTTTGTCCCGAAGCAATTCTTGTCTCTTGTTAGAAGACCGTATGAAATTAACAAGCATATTGACCTTACCGAAAAAACCACTAACATCTTTGTGAGTCTTAGCACATGCAACAAGTGCTAATTGAAGTTGATGGGCAAAACAATGCACATAATAAGCTGATGGATTTTCATTTTAAATTAAAGTTCTCAAACCACCAAACTTACCTCGCATATTGCTAGCTCCATCATATCCTTGCCCCCTTATGCTAGATAAACTCAAGCCATTAATAGACAACAACTTCTCAAGTGCCTCCTTAAGTGACTTAGCACTTGTTTCTTTAACACTAACAATCCCAAGAAACCTTTCTTTTACCAAACCATCACTATTAACATAGCGAATAACAACATCCATTTGTTCTTTACCAGCAACGTCACCGGATTCATCAATCAAAACACAAAACACATCATCCGCAATATCACATACAATTTGTTTAGTTATTTCACATGCACAAGCAGCAGCAAGATCCTTTTGAATCTTAGGGGCAGTCATAAAGTTATTTCCTGGAGCACAATTTATTACCTTAGCTATCTCTGGGTTAATTTCCTTTAGAGTGTCCACCAACTCAAGAAATGGCCCCTTAAATAAAGAGTTAAAGGACTCGTCACTCCCTCTAAATGGCATGCCACACCTCAAAAGAAACTTAGTAGCTATAAGAGATGTGTTTACACGAACACGATATTCAGAATTCATTTGTTTAGTTTGATTAACAAATGCAGCCTTAATACTTTGGTTTGGGTTCATGAGAGCGTAACTCATATGCATACAATCAATATGACTATTGGAAGAAGTTCCATGATTAGCCAATCTGTGAGAATTCTTCCAATCACCAAACCCCTCTGTCACAAAGTGATCTCCCCCGTATTTAGAGACATTCTTAAACAAAAAATATGGCAAGCAAAATGCCAGGTCCTTAGATTCACTATAATCAATCCAATCATACAAATCAAACCAATTTTTGCAAAATCTACGTCTTTGATTACCTTGAACAGACCAAGGGTAAACAAAATTGTAAGGAGGTTTATGACGACCTATTTTTAAATAAGCTTTTCTTACCTCATTTTGGATGTCAGGATGATAGCTTGAAATTGGAGGCCTAATTCCTGGATCGGTTTTCAATAATTCATAATCGACAACTTTAATACTCTCACTTGGATGTTGAGTTTCCGATGCTTCTAGATTTACCGAAGAAGTAGCTTTGTCTCTAGAAAGCACAGGAAAAAATTTCTTCATCCTATAAAGAGAACAATAAAACCATTAAAATTAGCTATTCACTCTATAAAGAAAATAATAAGAACAATTTATTGTAAAGAAAATATTTATGAGAAATTGAAAATTTACTTTTTTAAAACAAATTGGGGTTTTAGGGTTAACTCAAATAGAACAAAAGAATAAGAAAATTTTGAAGTAGTTAGTTTACCTTTGATTTTCAATCACCCATAAACAATGCAAAATGGTGGGGTTATTGGATTAATGAGAGAAAGAGACAAATATGGAAGTTGGTGGGGTTTGAGAAGAAGAGAAAGGGTTTAATGTGTGAGAGAGAAAGAAATAAAAGAGAGAGAAAATTAAGAGATAAAAGTGAGTTGAAGAGTTATATAATATTAAATATTAAAATTAATTAATTAATTAAATATATATTAATGTTAGAAAAAGAAAAAAAAATCTGGTGTGGCTATAGCCACACCTAGCCTAAACATGAATCCGCCCATGAGCATAGGTGTTAAGCAAAACTTATAAATTGTTGCGAAAGATCACTCAATTGTCTCCAAAGTTTTTATTATGCCAAACATAATTGTCTCCAAAATCAATTGCTACTCCAAAGTTTTTATTAATGCCAAACATAATTGTCTCCAAAATCAATTGCTACTAAAAATCTGAAAAATTACTAAACATATATATTATATTCAAAATAGTTTGTTGACCACTAATATATATAGCAATCTCGGTTCAACTACATAAGAATTTTCTAATGAAGAAATATTTATAATGAATATATATATATAACTTTCTAAAATAGATAAAAAAATCTATAACAAAACTGTCTTCCTGAGATTTAACAGCTCAATGGTAGTTTGAGCGTTACTACTTACTATTATCTAGCAGAAGAAGATTGGTGTTGTTTGGCATTGTTTCTCTTGAGTCTCAAAATGTGAATCCTTCTCTGTCTTGCTTGAGCTTCCCTTACTTTACTCAAATCTTTAATTGCTTCAAAGGATATATTCAAATCAGGAATGGATAATGGGCCCATACTACCACTGTTTTGGCCCATTGAAGATGATGCAACTGCCAACGACGTCGTTGGATGAACCCCAAAATTGTTGTTATCATGAATTCTTTGCTCTTCATTTACAACAGTGGAATTGGAAGTGTAGACTGGATTTTTGATGATATCATTCACTTTCATTGGCTCATTAATTTCTAAATTGGGAATTTTGTATTCACCTTTGGGACCATTAATATTTAGCTGTAAAAATAGCAATTTCCATAAATCAAAAACAAGATTGGACCCACCATCGATGCAATACAACAAACCTAAAAACAAACAAATCCAAAAAAATAATATGGATCTTATAGATAAATAAATAAATCAAGGATAAGAAAAGTAATCCGAGAAACCAAAACAAAAAGAATCAAAGTAGATATAATTTTGTGAAAAATATTGAAAATTAATTATTAAAAGAAAAAAATCATAATTATTAGTAGTAACGCATACCTCCTTTCCCTTTGCTTTCAATTTGGAATTGAAGGCCTTCAATTCTTCGTATTCAAGTTTCACACTTGCAATCTCCTGTTTGCATTTCAAACATAAAACATTCAGAAAACCAAAAATAAACAAAAAACACATTTGATGAAAATTCTATAATTACCAATAAAATCAAATAAATAAACTTACTTGAGTAATGGAGTTTTTAGTTTTCGTCAAATCTTCAATAATATTAAGATAGTGCTCTTTCTTCTGTTAACAGAAAATAATCACAACTCAAAATTCAGAAGAAAAAGAAACAAAAAAAAAATATAAAACTATAAAATTGGGTATTTCTTTCCACAAAAGAAAGTTAATATGGCAAAAAATAACAGAAAAACAAAACAAAAAAAGAAAAAACAAGAAATTGCAAGTTTACCCTTTTGAGAGAAGTTCTTTTTTGGGAATGTTTGGGTTTGTCATCTGATTCAGTTGTTGGAAACGAATGAGGGGTTGTTGGACTTGAAGCTTTGAGTTTAACGGCGTTAGACGGTGGAGGAGGAGGAGGAACAACGGTGATGGTTGCGGCGGCGCCATTGGAAGAAGGTTTATTAGGAATTGCGGATCTCTTGTTTCTACACCCCCATGAGTAAGGTACATGACTGAACAAAGGGAAAGTATGATGCAAATCAGCAATAATTTCAGCAGCTTCAATTTCACTCTCTAACCAAACGCTACTACTCTGTTCCATCTCTCTCTGTGTCTGTTTTTTTGGGTTTGAAATTGAAAGAAAAAAAAGATTTATAGATAAAACAGTGATTGAAGAAGAAGAGGAAAAGTGAAAGAAATGCGAGAAGTTTGCGAAATCCTCGTTCTTCTTATTTTACGGCACAAGAAAACGCTCAGGTCTTAACCTGCTGACACGTGTCCATTGCGAAATCCTCGTTCTTCTCATTACCTAACTAGGGTTTATGGCTCTTTTCTACTCAAGACAAGTTTGTGCATATTACTCATGGGATGGGAGGGTACGATTTTTTTGGGTGAATGGATACTCAACTCATTTTTATTTTTTTTATATAAAATATCTATATATTTTTCATTTAAAAATATAAAACAAAACTATTATTTTTTAAATACAGACAACATTTATAACAATATATGATGCGAAAACAACCAGAAGCCTCATCCCGCAAATAATAATAAATAAATAGTCGACAATAAACATTTAGTAATAAATAATTCACATTTGAAATTTGTTAGTAAAGGAAGTTATTTACAATAAAATGTGTTACTAACCTCCGATGTTTACGACGATAAGAATGCAAATCTAAAGTACAACTTTTACACATACTCTCTATATTTATTATTGTTTTCTATTTTATTTTTTCATATTAGTCTATGTGGGACTACATAATCAAACTTCATCTTTAAAATGTAAAAGATCATCTCCATAGTTAACCATGTTCGTAAAAGAATCACTCTTCAACTTCATTGTCTTCTTTTTTAGACTTCGAACATTCTTCATAAATTCTAGACATGAAACATGTATATAACCAAACTATTATCAATCACTCACTCATGTAACATATTGATCCATTGATGTTTAGTAGGACTATTTTCGGTCTGGGCCGGTCCGAGTATTCAAGCTCTCGACAGGTGGATCGAAACTCTAATCAAGTAAACCAAGACCAAACTATATTAGTGATGGACTGTTTTTTGGACCGAAATCAGTCTGATATGTTTGGGTAAACTGAGATCAGACCTGTTGTACCCCAAAATTTGTCCTCCCATATTCTTCAAGGTTTGCTAAGGTCATGCTTCAAAATCTCCCAAGGGTTGCACAGTCCAATGGCCTCCTAACAGTCAAAAATTAGGGTTTTGGTTCTGGCAAAGAAATTGAAGTTTCCAAGGGTCCAAACAAGTCCCACATACCTACATACATTGTCAAGCATCCACATGCCAAGTTTCAAGACTCACAGCATCAAATTGCACAGTCAAAAACCCTAAACGCTTCACAGTCAACTGCAAGGGTAAAATGGTCATTTGACAGTCAAAAGTCAAAATTTTTGGTCAACATCTTATTTTGAAGCCACAAACATCATTTGATCAATTCTTGATCATGATTCTCAAGGCATGGCTCAAAAAGTCTAAGATGCAAAAGTTTCTATTTTTGGACAGTTGAAAAAGTCAACTGCAAATTGACCAAGGCATAACTTCCACATGGTTTATCATAAAAATTCCATCCAAAGCTCATTTTGAAGAGAGTGACATTTCCTACAACTCATCTTCACACTTCAAGTCCAAGAAATGCTCTCACAAAAAGTTATCAATCTCAACATTATAGGTCATTTTCAAAAGTCAACAAAAAGGCACTTCAAGTCAAAGACCATAACTTGAGATTGGTAAATCAAAATGACATGGGACCAAAGACATTGGTTAGAGGACTTCAAGACCTTTCCAAAATGTCCAAGAACATGATCAAAGCTTAAAAATTGAGCAACATATGCCTTGCGGAAGTTGGGAAATTTTTGGGAATTTTGAAAAGTCAACCTTACTTCAAATGCCTCAAAATTGCTAATGGGCCTCAATTTCTTCCATGAATCATTACCCAAAGGCTATGCACGACCCATTAAGCTAAAAGGGAGTTATTTTCTTATTTTTAATTAATTAATTGAATTTTTAATCTTATTAATTCATTTAATTAAAGTTAATTATGAGAAAAATACTAAATCATGTTTTTTAAATCCTTTTATGCAGCAAATATGTCCATAATGAGCTCAATATCTCGTGTACTACCTCAAGGGAACAAAATCTTCCATAATTGGCATAATTGGCATGAAAAGAGATTGGAAAAGATTTGACAAAAATCAAATATTTGAATCATGAATGCATAAACTTTGGGCCTGGTTTTCTTGACCTAATTCCATCCTCATACATATGCAAAGCTAACCTAATGCATACAGACACAAAAAGCTGCACTCAAAACCATAGAAAAAACTTGCAATTTTGGAAAAAATATTGAAAACTGTTTTCAGACCTAGAGTGCAATTCAAGGCTTGAAAAGTGTTCCAAAACCTTGCCAAGACATCCAGGAAACGATTCCAATCAAAACCAGCCCTCCATACTCAAGGAATTGGTATAACAAAGTCTTACTTTTCTTGAAATTATCCATGATCGTGTTTCAGTTTCCATGCATCATTTGTGATTTTTAAATGTTGATTTACACTAATGTGAACGTTCTGAAGCTAATGGTACTCTTGAATTGACCTAACCATGCCTGTATAAGGATTCATCATGAACGCATTTTAGGGTTTCAGAAGCTTTGATTTAGGGGTTTTCACATCTGGAAAAATTAGGCCTTAAAACCTATGCCAATGGAATCAGAACATCCAGACGAAGCAAGTCCACACCTCGCGCTCTTTTTATGTTTGCTTATGTGCTAATCGTTATTTTCATACATTGCAGTTAGTGGGGGTTTAAAACCCCCGCTATTTGATATTATTTGCAGGAACCAAAGGAAGACGATGCTAGCGTGGCTTGATCTTATTGGGTAGTTTAAATACTGGCACGCGTTTTCATTAAACACCACTAACGCTTGCTTTCTCTCTCATAATAATCATTGTCCAATAGATATACAAAGTAACGCGTTGGTTCAAATGGTTGATGTGCTGGCTTGCAGGTATTGGGACCTGGGTTCGATTCCCAGGTCCCCCACTTCTTCCATAATTTTTTCTTCAATATGTTTCTATGCAGCATGCCATCAAAAGACCACCATACAACCCCACCTCCTAGCTTGCCACGCGCCCAGGAAGTCTCATCCAAAGGTCAGAATGTGGAGGTCCACCATGCACGCTGGTCAATCATTCCACACACGCGCTAGAAAGTCAAAAGGGGCCTCATTCTGTTGGGCCAAACTGCTTCCAAATACACCTCTAAATTGGGTCAGACACCCCCAGGGTTTGCTCAATCTTTTAATTTATTTTCTTTCTTTGTTTTTCCTTTTTATTCTTTTAATTGTTTTTTTTAATTGTTTCCTTTAAATTGCACAAAATAATTTTTATAATATAAAAACCAGAAATCAAAAATTGTAATATATTTAATTATTATTATTTCACCATTAATTAATTTTGTAAATAAATTTTTAATAATCAATTTAGTTAAATTAGGTTTTGAAATTTAAATGTTTTTTAATAACTAAAATATATAGAAATTAGGTTTTTAGCATTTTTATCTTTTTCTTAATAAATAATTTCTTCTTCTTCTTCTTATTATTAATTATTTTGTAAATACCCATGTAATTAAATAATTAGTATAAATTAGGTTAAAACTTTAATCTTTTTCTTTAATAATTAAAAATATTTAGAATTAGGGTTTCTTTTAATTTTAATTTTCTTTATTTCATAAATACCAAAAAACCATAAAAAACATTCCTTTTCTTAATTTAATAATTAATTAACTTTTAATTTCAATTTAATTTTAAAAGGGTCCAACGCCCTTGAACACTCGATTCTAATTTCTTTTCGCGCGTTTGTTCTTATGTTTCTTTTAAATATTATGTAATTGCCCAAGCTTTGTAATAATAATTAGGAAATTTATTTATTTTCTGCATTTTATTTCAAAACGGGTCTTTTGTTAATTTGGCGATGTATAGACCCGCGCCTTGTAATAGCGTAGGACTTTATTTTCCGCACTTTAATTTCCGCACCCTTAAAACTGCTAAACTTGGCATGAAAGAATGAATGGCCCAAATAAAATCAAAGCGTAGATCACCATAATGCATGACAAGATAAAACATAAGTGAAATAACACACAAATTCACACACCACTCTTAGGGTACACCTCACTGTTGCCTTGCCCCTCGAAACGTGGTCGTCGAGTATAGGACATTTTAGTAAGTCCTTATGTCCATGACCCATGGCATAAGGGTAGCTTCTAAGGTGTCCTACTGTTGCTCTGGTGACCACACTATCCCTACAAACTCGAATTGACCCGAACACCTCCAACGGTGGTGCTACCTACCTCTCAATGGTGGGATGGCACTACCTTAAGGACATTTACACAGCCTAATTCCTTAGGGTAGGTAGATGACTCATAGATACTTGCTCTAATTCAAAACAAATCAAAACTTCTTTTCACACCGACACTTTTCAAAAAGCTTTCAAAACAATTTTTCAAACACTCTTGAGGACTGATACAAGAGTCGATCTAAAATCTTTAAACGAAACTTTTTCAAACTCACTCACACTTTGAAAAGCAAACATCTTTTGAAAACGCAATGAGCAAGTATCTAAGAGCCCATGGATAACCATGGATAGAAAGGGTGCTAACACCTTCCCTTTCTATAAATCTACCTCCCGAACCGAGAAACTATCTCATAAGGAATTTTGCTGTGCTTTTATCCTGTCCATGTTGGAGAAAATAAAAGACGGTGGCGACTCTTGCTTCCGCGACATTTCGCGAACCAGCATTAAACAGTCAGTTCCAGATCCACCGATCACAGAACTGGCGACTCTGCTGGGGACTTTTATAAAGTGAGGTGTACCTTAGGACTAAGATCACTTGTGTTTTCAATTGTTGTGCCTGTTTGCTTTAAATTATGGGTTGCATCGGAGTTACATAGATCCTAACCCGGATCTGGGGATACCCTGTTAGGTAGCATAAGCTGTGAGGGACCTGTCCGGCGTAGACCGACATGGGTGAAACAGTGGCTACGTTGGTGTGGCACCTTGGTCTGTACCGATATCCCTTGTG